ACGACCTGCTGCTTGGCCGAGCTGCGCGGCGCCTCCATGGTGGCGGGGGGTGGTTATGCGGGGTCGCTGAGGTGAGTTGATGCTACCGGGAGTCGTCGCAGTGGTCGTCGTCTCGCATAGTCGTCGCGTCGTGAGTCATAATCTGGGTTACAATAGAGCGCAGCAGCAACTTTCTCGTCGCGCCGCTGCAGATTTCAGGGTGGGGAACCTTCCCGTTGCGCTAAACCCACTAATGCGCCCTACTGCGGGCTGATAAGCTGATAGTACCCCGGAAGGCAGTCGTGACCAGGAGCATCACCGCCTGGTGGCTGCCTCACCATTGACCGTCTCTCTGCCCCGCCCATAGTGACGGCGAGGTTTGCAATAACTTCGCGTGAATTACTCGCTTTACCCTTCTTCCCACTCCTTATACTCGAGCAGCACCTTTATCTACACGTTACTGGTTGCTCCTGCCTCCTGGCCCACGGTACTACCTACACAGCGTCCCCGCTCAACCTCACCCCGCTCAACTGCTCCGCCTCCCAACCAAGGCTGTATTCGCGTCACTGTCTGGCGAGACGCACTTCTCTCTCCTCATGAGTTCAAGTAGGCTTCTCATCGCACCATCTTCCATGTTCTTTCCCCGTCTCACTGACACCCCAGTCTTCCGTATCGTCCTCCGGGACGCAAAGCGGTACGACACGTACGAGACCCGTGAGTTCGACCTGCCGCTCAACAGCGAGTTCCCTATCGGTCGAGCGTCCAGCAACGCAGCCAAGCGAGAGCTCATGGCCGCACCTCATAACGCCTTCATCGACAGCCCCGTCATATCCCGCCAGCACGCCGTTCTCTCGGCCAACGCAAACAGCGGCGTTCCGGAAGTCTACATTACCGACAAAGGCTCCATGCACGGCACCATGCTGAACGGTCAGAGGCTCTCTGCCAACACACCCACCAAGCTGAACGATGGCGATGTCCTGCAATTCGGCACTGACGTTAACCGTAATGAGGGTACGTCCTCGCGTAGGCCCTCCAAACCTCCTCTTACCCTACCTTCTGAGCTGACACCAACCCACACAGAGTTCTTCGTAGCCCGCACCTACACTTTCGAGTCGCAGCTATCACGCCCCTTCTCTCTCGGCTTCACCGTCCCTGATGCCGAAAGTGACGAAGAGGAAGTTGCAGAGCGCCGAGGCAGCCAGATCGATCCTTTCGTCATCGACGACGACTCCGACGCAGCTGATGACCAATCGGAGGCCGACGACCAAGAAGAGGTTACCATGATCATGGATCAGGTCCTGCACCCGAACGAGCATGGCCACACTCTCAGTGTTAGTCAGGACGACTACCCAACGTCCGCAATGCGCACCACTCTTCCCAACGAGGACTACAACCCAGAGAGCTTTGCGTCCCGCCGTGACGACTCCCTCGAGCCTGCCAGTCCAAACCCTTCTAGCGATGGAGAAGACGTGGCCGCCCTTGGTTCTGATTCGGACAGCGAGGCTGGCAGCATCGATAGTTCCGAGATGCTGTCTGACTCCGAGCCCGAGATTCAGGATTCAGAGGACGAGGAAATGGAAGAGGTTGAACACAAGAAGCCCACCACATCCTCATCCAACAAAGAGAACGAGGCGTCAATCCACAGCCAAGTACCCCAAACTGTTCACTCCTTCCCGCGCGATACAACGACGCTTTCGCTCTCGGACGTATACATGCCGCAAGACGTAGCCAACACACAGCCGTCACTACCACGCTTGTACATGTTCGGCATGCAGGGCTCTGACGGCAACTCCATGTCGAACAGTAACGTCTACGGAGATAACGCGCCTCCACCTCTGCCGCCACGTCCCTCGGCGTCTAGGGCAGCACCATGGTGCGATTCAAACTATCGCTCCTTCAGGGAAGTGGCCGATCTTCAGGAATGGTACTCCGAGGGCGTTCCGCCAAACTACTTGGGCACCAACTTTGGCGACCGACCGTCCCTGTTCAGTCCGGCTCCTCTTGCCCCGATGGCAGAGGCGAATGAGGCTCGTGCTCCCATGCCCCAATTCACTCCTTATCCTAGCCAACCCATGCAAGCGAGTCGTCTGCAGACACCTCCACCATATTTCGTACCCGACTTCGAGACCTCCCCGCCGGTGCAGCCAGGTCGCCGTACCAAGGTATCCATCGAGGAGATCGTTGAGGAGCAGCCGCCTACGCCAGAATCTGTAAAGGATTTGAAGCGCAAGGCAGATGTACTTGAGGCAGACGAGCCAGAAGCCGTTCTTGACGAAGTATTGAAGGCCGCCATTGGCGATGAGCATGCAACCTCAAACTCAGTAGCTGCTGTTTCAGTGGATGATGCTGCTGCAATCCAGACGGCTGCCATTATTGCCCAGCGTCCCAAGAAGACTCCCCGCTCAGTCCTCAGCAAGGTTCTCAACAAGGCTGCGTATCCCTTGCTTGGTGCTACCGGTGCTGTAGTCTCATTTGCTCTTCTTTCCACCCTCCCGGATGCCTTCTTTGTGTAGGCTATGATGGACCTGATGGCAGCAGTCCATCATTCTTCTTTTCCGGTGTTCAGGGTAAGGCAAGGTGTACATGGCGGGGCGATTCGGGATCATGATATCGGTGGGAGCATCTACGGATAACGGCAATTAGTGCTAACGGCGTTTCGAGAGACGTCAGAAGAGTCGGGTCCTGGATTATGGGTGGTGTGTGCTTCGGGATCCACTGGCGTTGTGTGTTTTTTTCCTCATGTCACGCCATGGTGCATGACCATATTACCTTTGGTTTGATAACGAGTTATGTGCAAGAATCTCCCTATTAGATGCTACTGCGTGTGTTGTCTAAGTGATGCGGAATGAAAGATTGGGTTTACGCGAAGCTTGAAATTCTTCGGGACGCTAAACCTCAAGCGACTCGTGTCGAGGACCTCGGGAGCTCCACACCCACGTGGAGGACCCAGACGTCACGTCTTCATTTCTGTCAGACCGTTTCATGGTAGAGTACGGGTACGTGTACCAGATCTCATGTTATTGTTCTTGTTGTTGTGTATTTGGTGTAAACAACGTCTTTCGCAAAACCTCTTTCCTAGCTACCAACCGCGACGCTCCGCTGGATCCTCACGCTTCTGAAGACGTCTGGTGGACTGTCACTGTCTTCTTGATAGCATTCCAATCCTGCGTCTCCCTATCCAAAACAGCCGCCTCGCTCCCCTGGGTACTACCCCGGTCTTCACCCGACCTCATCCCTGTGACCCTCGTCCTAACCTTCGTCGAGACCGACGTCCAAAGCGGCTTCAATATGGGCAAACAAGCACACAAGACCGCAGTACAAACATGAATGCTAGTCCAAAGCTCGGTGGCATGATAGAAAACTGATCAACGTCAGCATAAACGACTCTCAGTATCAAAGCAATAGAAAACCTACTCTCATTCGGATCCTCTTTCCGCCTCGTATAAAACTCAACAATCCTTACCACATTCGTAACAACAACGAACCCACCCAACACAAAAACACCCACAAGCTGCGCCTTCGCCCTCCTTGCCATCTGCAGCGTAAACGCCGTTCTTATCGGCACAAGCAAGATAGCCAAATCGTTAGCCGCGTCGAGCGCGAGAAAAGCCTGGAATACTTGCGGCCATTTTCCCTTCCATTTCCCCTGCTCAGCAGCCACTTTGATAGCTTCAGTTGGACTATGGGAGCTGACGACGAAGGACCGGCAGACGAATATCATGGCGGCGACGGCGGTGGCCCACCAGAGCGAGGTGAAGATTATTAGGTAGAGTGAGGCGCGCTGGTGGAAGGTGCAGGTGCGGAAGATGCGCCGGTAGAAGAGGAGGATGGAGAGTTTGCAGGTGAATTGAGACCATATGCCCAGGAGGAAGGCGGTGAGCATGGCCTTACGGTATTGGATCAGCTGCGGGGAGGCAGCGGTCAAGTGCATGTCTAGAACTTCGGTCTTGGTATAGGGTCCAAAGTTTGTGAAGCTCTCTGTCGTGAAAGAGTCAGTGCATGGTTAGAGCTACTGTAGTGGTCATGTTCTACCGTGTAGCGCGACGATGATGGCGGCCCAGTAGACGATCAGGGTCCATATGATGAGATAGTCGTCTCTTCTAAGACCTTGCTTGGTCGATTTTTTGGCGTAGATGCGTGTGCAGACTGTGAGGCCGGCGATGAGGCAGCAGATGAAGTGTGCGACGGCTATTTGACCGTGGTAGTAACTGAGGCCTAGCATTGTGGTGGAGGAGTCGCGGTCAATGATCGATGGTCGCGATTTCGAATTCGGAACACTTTCTGAGGCTCGGGGAAGCGCAGTGTTACTTGGAGGGACGCCGATGTGCAGTCGAAGCGAATGAGCGCATATCCAAAGTTCAAGATTGGGGCGGTATATACGAAGGCGTTAGAATCAGCCCTGACGGAAAAATGGCAGACAAACGGATGCGATCGTCGTCGAGATTTGGGGCCAAGCTCGGTATCCAGATTGGGGGAGAAGACGGATATAGGGTGACGGCGCGATTGTCGGTGGTCACACCGTGTTACCCAAAAGACGTTGTCCGTTTGCTAGCGATCTCCGTTTTACAGACTATTCCAAATAGGTCATGTTTGCGCTCTCTCTTCCACTTCTCATTTTGCTTTGATGAACTCGATTAGTGCGCCGAACCAGCCGAGCGTACCTAGTATGATTTTTGAATGTTGATAAAAACAGTATGGGGCCGAACCTGGTGTTACGTTCCCACTCTTAGGCCTCACGATGTCTTGTCTTAGATCTACATCTTTTTACCTTTTTTTTTAATCCCTAGCATGCCTAACACAACTGTTTAGCTGTAGAGAGAGCTTGCTCCCTAGAAATTTTGTGGTCAAGGCTGTTCCATTGCATGATAGATGACTGTCCTCGTGCTCTTTGCTAGAAGACCTGGGACTAACAGCCTTTCCCGTACTGAACTGTGCTCACAAACAACAAAAGAATAGCGTCCCCCATGCTCACTTCATCTTGACCATCTCGATCCTCACACCCTCTGCCCATCTCGCGACGATCACCATCCTAGGGACATCGGTCCTCCAGTAACGGCCTCTATCGCGGTATCAACTAGAGGATCGAACTCCCCAACATCGAACGCCAACTGCTTCAGCGGACCCATCGCTTGTTCCATGAGGCTGATGTGTCTTCGAAGCAGTCCGATCATCTCCTGGGGCGCCCGTGCTTCTCTTTTGCGTTTCGTCAGCTCACTCTTTGACTTGCCAATCTCCCTGTAAAGAGGGAGAAGTTCTGCGATGAGTTTTCTCCTCCGCTCATGGTAGTCGCGTTCATCGCTGCTGTTATCAGAGTCGCTGCTTCCATGATCGCGCTCTCTCTGGTGTAGTTGATCTGTGTCTCCGTCTATCGGCGCGTCACTTGCTGCTGGTATCCTTTCGTGATCGAGATCGTTGGGAGGCGAATAAGGAGGGGGCGCCGGGTGACTCGAGAGTCTATCATGATCCGTGTCTGCATAGACGTCGTTCGTCTCCGCGGTGTACTGATGTGTTACGTAGTTGTTCTGCCCCATAGTGGCAAGACAGCTTCGAGCAACATCCACCTGAGTCTCGGCTTCCTGGAGTCGCGCCCTGCATTTCTGGAGCTCAACTTGGCGCTCCTTGATTTTGTTTTCTCGCCGTTCGAGTTCGGCCCTGCGTTCCTCGACTATGGTCGCACAAGTCCTTGTGACGCCTTCCATCGCCTCGGTATGATGCCGTTGCATCTAAAAGCCTTCCCCTGCACGTAATTTTAGTGTTGGTCTTGTTTCGATTTCTCATTGGTGTAGGCTCCGTACCTGTAGTGTTGTCTGCCGACCCATCGTACATCCATGACGGATTGGATGGAGTCCTGCACATGATGCACGGAGATGTCTTGCCGGAGTTTTGTGAATGTTTTTCGAGTTTTGTTATGTGTTGGGTCGTTGTGCACGATAAGAATAATGTTGGTGTATCGTGGGAATGTCGTGGAATCAGAACGAGGAGGACGTGTAGCGCTGGTTTTCTTCTTCTTTGAACGATGGTTGATGTGATCACCCGAGTCAGCGTGCGAAGTATACGGTGTATTGAGTTGTTATTGTAAGAGCTAAGGTGCTAACTACTAAGGAAGGAGAGCCTATGTACCCGTGAGGTAATCACGTGACACAGCGCGTCGACCTACCTAGGTAGGTACAGCACACCCACAAACCAATCATAACTTACAAATTATGCAAATTACTAATACAATAGGTCAAATAGAGCGCAAATATTGCGACTACCGATGTTTGATCGGCAAAACTTCTTTATGAACAGAGCCGGGCTGAGGTGCACTATATGCGCGAGATGTCATTTGCGCAGCCACGGTTCAAAGATGCCCAGGCAAGAACGCCGCCCTATTCGCCCGCGCCCAACTTCCATCGTGCGCTACAATCACCTCTACTTCTACAGGGCTTCCACATTCTTCACGAACAGTCCCTTGCTTCAAGAGCCTCGCTATTGTCTCTACGGTAGCCGCTGCAGCATCAGTGTCAGCATGCACACTTCTCAAACCGCCTTTCCCATCGTCGTAGAGCGCGATACCCTTCTCGCCTCTCAAGATGCGTGGGTCATGACAACAATCGCCACCAAGGTATACCCATTTCTTTGGCCCTGTTCGGGCGAGAAGGTTGATATGTCCGAACAAGTGCCCTGGCGCATCGATGATGAATAACGATCCATCTCCATAGAAGTCTATGGAGGCGGGAAACCCCGCCAGCGGCTTCCACGCAAGTTCTTTTGTCTGGTTTTTGAATGCGCGTAGAGCTTCTGCCTTGCGAACAGGTGGTAGCTCGCTCGTTCGGTCGGCAGGCAATTCATCAGGGTTGAATATCTCGGACGGATAAAGTGGTCCACCGCCGTTCGCAAGAAGATGCATAGTTCCACTTCCGACCACAAATCGCGCTTTTGTGAAATCGCTCGGTGTACCCACATGGTCCCAGTGAACATGACTCAGCATCACCACGTCCACGTCTTTTGGGTCAATTCCACCTTTTCGCAGGCTCTCAGCTGCATCCGGACTGACACTGGTAGGCTGGCGTTGCGCTATATGATGCTGTTGTGCTTCCCGGTAGCCAGAGAAGTCGCGTTTGAGACCGAGATCGAAGACGAGATTTGATGAACCGTGTCGAATCAAGAAAGAGAGAGATGGGACTGTCGCACGTCTTTCTGGATCGGCATCTGTAACGAAGAGTCTCTCGGGAAGGGTAAGTTGACCGGCTTCGAGGGCTGAGATGGTAACGTATGTTTGATCCTGGGCTGGTGCTGGAAGAACAACGGTATCGTTGCTTGAAGCCATGGCGAATGGCAGGAGGCAAGAGCTGGTAGCTGAAGCGTTCTCGAAGGAGCCATGTTTGACGCCAAATATGACATCGTTGTTGGAGAAAGCGTGGTTGGGGAAGTCGCTGGCATGTATTCCGTCCTGCGGCCCCACCTTGTCGACTACCCCGCACGCGGGGTCAATCCCTTTGAGATATCGAGATCTGAATCCATCAGTGGTAATAGAAGGTATATAGATTGAGATTGTTCCCAGATGTAGTCGAAGGGCAACTCCCCGCTCCTTATCAATTCGAGAAGTTCTCAAAACACAATGTCGTTTACTGTGCCCGAATCGATGCAAGCGCAGTACCTGGAGGCTTACAAGGAACCATACAGGCTACGATCAGTTCCAATTCCGAAGCTGGAGGAGCCGCATGACATCCTCATCAGGGTAGATGCTGCTTCGTATTGCCATACCGACTATGTCCTAGCGGAAGGACAGATGCCAGGATTGCCGAAATCTTTCCCTCACATCGGGTGCCACGAGTTCGCAGGGACGGTGGTCGCTCTTTTCCAGACGCCCAGCAAAGAAGCTAGCGCGTTCGAGATTGGCGTGAGGGTCGGTGTACCGGGACGTTCTTTCCATGCTTGTGGCTCATGTTTCGAGTGCAAGAACGAGCGCGTGGACGATCCGGTCGCCATGGATGAAGGAGGCTACTCGGTGAACTGTATCAATGCTGAGAACAAAGGGCTGAGCAAAGATGGAGGGTTTGCGCAGTATGCCGTTGTGGATGCGAGACAGCTATCACCAATACCAGACGGTCTGACCGCAGTAGAGACTGCCCCTCTGATGTGCGCCGGCGTGACCATATACGGAGCCCTCAAAAGATGCAGACTGAAGCAAGGCGACCGAGTCGGCATACTAGGAGCAGGTGGTGGTCTTGGCCATCTGGGCTTACAATACGGCGTCAAGATGGGGTACAAGGTCCTGGGTATTGAGGCAGCAGATGAGCCTCTCAAGCTTTCGCAAGATGTCGCCTTGAGATTGGAGCCCCAGCCTTATATCGTAGACGCCCGGAAGAAGGAAGCAGCGGATGTCGTTCAGGAGATCGGTAGACAAGACAACAAGAAAGATGTTGGCGAGATGGGACTGGATGCAGTGATCGTCCTGCCGGAAAGCCAAAATGCTTTTGACTACGGCATGACACTGCTCAAGTCACACGGCACGTGCGTTGTCGTGTCGTTCCCGGAGAATGGCTTCCACATCAACTCGCGCGACGTCGTGTTTCGAGATATAAGAATCATCGGAAGCCTGGTAGGAAGTAACAAAGTGCTTCGTGAAATGCTCGAGTTTTCCGCCGAACATGGTATTCGCGCTTTGTCGACTTCGTTTCCTTTGACGAAGTTAAACGAGCTTGTAGACGAATACCACAAGGGCCGGGGTGGGAAGCTGGTGGTTGACATGGCGATTGAAGCGTAGATCGAGTAGTAAGATACTTCCGCACACTCATTGCCCACCACCAAGCCCGAGATCAACGAATTAGCTGCTTGTGACCGCAGGTGGGCAAGGGCCGGCGAATTGCGTAAATGTTGTTCGCCTGAAAGCTATGCAAAGTTTCGAATATTATGTTGTTCGTAGTCACACTTATGGCCTTTGTATTTCCAAGCTCTTGTTAGGCTATTGCACCCATGGTCGAGAGTACCGTAATGAGCAGTCACGTGTCGATTATGAGCCAGCGGACTGACGTCACCACCTGGGCAGCCGCTTGAACATCAATGTGAGGATTGTCCAACTACACCAAACCACAGTCCGAGATACTTCAAACTTGAACTGCAAGTTTCGTATTGCCTGGAATGAGCGATCTATCGCGCAGCACCTCCGCCTCCAGTCCCTCGAGTTGATCTGGCCCTATGCCTATTAACTACAACGAAGTCACCTTGACCATCATCGAAATCCCCCAACTTAGCCTCTTTGTCTTCTCTCTCACCCTTGAAGTTCTTGTTCTTCTGTTCTTGTTGCTCAGTCTTCTCTTCCTTGGTTGCGTCTAATTCTTCAATCCAACTCTTGATAAACACCACTTCCTCCTCTTCCAAGTCCCCACAAATACCACAAGAAAGTGCGCTACCTGGCATATGGTTCCCATCTTTGTCCTTGGGCCACGTATAGAAGTACTTGCAGTACCAGCAAGCGTATCCCGAACAGCGGCGGTCGTCGCGCGTTGTAACAGTTGCATCGGCGCACTCGGCCTCGCAGACCGGCAATTCACATGTTTGACATGGGCCACCGGGTGAAGCTATGGTGCCCGGTACGTTGAAGTGCGAGCAGTCGTGACAGACCCATCCGCGGAGAGGGGGGTTTGACTGCGTAGTATCAACGTCTTAATCTGGTGAGGGGAGTAAAGGAATGTGTGAAGGAAGAGAGAGGCTCTTACGTTTCGGGCCATCTCCGCAGACTGTTTGCATGCGAATAGCATAATTCTTTGCGCTGTGAAGCTTTCCTGCTCTAGTATATCTTTCTCTTGCGTATGGTTAGCACGAGAGTAGTTGGTACAGTTGAGGTATACATACTGCTGACGACGTCCATGATGTCGACTGAGCGCTTTGTGTATGCAGGTACGAGATCAATTTGATGTCGGAAGCGAAAGGACGATGTGCTTGTATACGTCAGGTGCAACGAGATTGTTCCTGCTGTGAAGTGGCTACCAGCACGTGGAGAGGTCCAGATCACGCTAGGATAGAATCGCAACTGCGTTTGCTCTCACTTTCAACGAAGTCTCCGGCTTCTGCTGCACGATGCACGTATACATCCAACACTATTCCCAATAGACCATCGCTACAACTTAACCACCCGCTTAATTGAGCAACAGCAATATGACGACACCCACTAGTAAGTCCCTTTCCCCTTCTTTTCGCCCTCACCACAGAAGTTGCTGACCCCTACCCAGAGCGCGAAATCCTCAACATCCCTTGCGATCTCACTAAAGCCGCCCACCTAGCGCTCGTGCAACTTGCGGTCCGAGATGCTCGCGCAGAGAGCCCAGCACAACGCGGATGGATCTGTCATCGCAGCTCACACTACAACACGCCTGGGTCTTGCCATGTCTTAGGTTCTCTACGCCGGTGCGGCCATGTAGCCTGCCGGCCTGTGCCACTCCATCTGCAGCTTGGTTCAATGAGCCTGGGTAACTACTACCTCCCTCTCCAATGGGCACTACGTGGTCAAACCTAATTCCAATACAGATAATATACCAACCGTTTGTTTCGAGGTTCAGGTCACAACGAGGGAAGATGCGAGACATTATGGTTGGGTGTGTTTCTACTGCAAGGTGTATACTGCATGGGGTGCCCTTGGCGACTGCGGCGCTGCGCGTCTGGTATGTGCGGCGTGTGGTGACGTCAAGGAGAAGGAGGTTGTCTTTGTGAGGAGGAGTTTGGCGGGACATGCTCAGTCGTGGAGGGGGGTGGACGGGGTGAAGACGAATGGACATAGTTGAAGAACAGTGAGACGAGCAAATGGTTGGGTAACTTGAAAAGCAATCGAAGCATTCATGAGAAACTGAACACCCTGGAGCCTACGTTGACGTTAGGTTGCCTACTTTGCATATTTTTACCTTGATGTAGGCCGCAGGTCTCTTTAGTGTTCTGTTGTGCGAGGTGGTACCTAGGTGTGAGTATCGCGTTTTTCGTATGCCATTCAGTGTGAACCTAGTCGTAGTGCATGCCTCGGGCGGTTTGATCTCGTATCCCGTATACCTAGGTACCTAGGTAAGTATCGCACTATTCCCGCTTCGCTCTGCCACCACGTCTTCCGCACACATGACTTACAGTGACGTTAAGCGTTGACGCGTCTTCGATGGCATATGCCTTGGCACTATCTGGGTACAGTGTAGAGAAGCTGTCGATAACGTGAACATGGCACGGGTGTTGTGATTCCGGATGCGATACGTGATTGCGCTTTTATGATTGGATAAAGAGGCCTCTTATCGGAGGTTGTTCTGTCCGACGTGAACGAAATCCGAGCACCTCGCTCTTTTATAACAGTGCGCGGGGGCACAGGCAGCCCAGGAGCCAGGACTCTGCCATCGGCGGCTCATGTCTCCCGACGACCGGCCTTTAGCCGGACCCGAGACGCTCGCTTCCACCAACCTTTTGCGGGCTACTCGTATCGGTGAGTACAGCATTGTGCGTATCCAGCACACCGGAGTGGAAAGTTATGCGCCAAATCCGACGATGACTGTCATCAACTTCAGGCAGACATGTTTGCAACATCTCTTATATGGGGGCCTCTGCATCTCGCTCTCCTTGAAATTTTCAATACAAACAGAAGCAAGCACGACTATCGACTTTCCATCGATTCTGGTTTTGTCGGGTTCTGCCATCGTTTGGCGCATGCGTTATTGGTCTTGTCAGCGCCGTGTCATCTGTAGTTGCCTTCGCACTCGCACTCGCGCCTTGGTGTTGCGCAATCCATCCATCGTATCGGCCGTATTCCAGCCCCCCGGACGAAACGAGTCCGCGCTTTTGCGTCATCCACATTCGGGTCCATCGCCACCCAACCGAGAAGCTTAGATCGTGTGTTTTGCCCTATCAAGCCTAGTGCCGTCCGGCTCGGACAACGGCTCGCCCTTGCTCTACAAGGATCTCTAATCTTCTAGGCCCGTGGGTGGCGCGCTGAAGGATCTCAAAGGAATTGCAGGAGAAGTTATTGTTCCTCTCCTCGCGACATCCCCTTAAGACTTCTTAGAGGTATTTCGACTGCTGCACGCCAAGTATCAGCAACGACACGACAAGACACGCTCATCGCCTGAGCATGGACAACGAGGACTCAGCAACGTCGACGGGGACGGCCATCTCCGCGGCCATCGACGAGAAACATGAGATGCATAAGGAAAAGGAGGCCAAGCCTCCCACAGCTGGCCTCAGTGATCAAGAGAAGGATATCATCGACAGGCAATTGACTGCGCCGAACCTCACAGTCGGTTACTTCTCGCTATTTCGCTATGCCAACGGAAAGGACAAAGTCGTCATGGTCATTGCGTT